TAATTGTTAAAATATATGATCTGGCCAGGGCAACTTCTTCTTCCTTCTCTTTTCTCCTCCTATATTATTTATTTACTTATTTTATACTGATAGTTTTAATTTTATATTATTATGTTTGTAACTCAATGTATTTTTTATATTTTTGTATTTAATGGTAATTTATTATGTGCTATTGAATTTCAATGTATTTTATTGTGTTGTAAGCCGCCCCGAGGCTTTGGCAAGGGGCGGCATAGAAATGTTATAATCATCATCATCATCATCATCATCATCATCATCATCAACTCACTGAGACAACATGTTCAGGATCCGATTAAAAATAGTTCATTTCTTTGAAATACTGCAACAAGCTTTGATGGGCAAATCATTCGGAAGCCTTCAAGGTATTCTTCAATGTATTTCTTGAGGTGGGCTTGTAAGCTGCAAATGTTCAACACGTATAGAAAAACGTGCATCAAAAAGGGCCACATAAGTCATCTCTAAAGGGAATAATTTTCCAATTGAATAATTTATCTGGAAAGAAAGCAATGTGGTAGAAAATTCTCCTTGCTGGTAATGACCTCCGTGCAAGAGATAAAATGTTAATTTTCGTTTGGATTCCTTGGATGAAATTATTCAAGAGCAACACAGCAATGTGTATCATATTTAACTTCTCATGATTTAGGAATGAAAGATACAATGAGCAAATGTCTAAAAATGAATAGGCATTTCTTTCACATCAGGAAGAGTGAAAGAAATGAGATGCCAGTGTATCAGAATAGTTAAATGTTTTCTTGGGTTATTTTAACACAAGCTGCACAACTGTACTTTTCAAACTCTGAAGTTTTTTTCTTCCTGAGGTTACAATATGCCTATATATAGAAACATAGAAACAGAGCGAGTCAGAAGAGGCCTCCTGGGCCATCCAGTCTGACCTCTGGCTCCACTCACAACATGTCCACCATATCCCTAGTTTCATTCATTCCTGCTCAAAATTTAAGGAGTTCACTAATCCTCTGCCACTCAAAACCTTGCTCTATCTGCTAACAATCTTGGCATAAGCTAAATATCTGTAGCCCATCAGGTATTTTATGATCTTTCAAAGGCCTCCTATAAAAAATGGATACGAAACTTTATAGGTTGTTTCTGTGTACAGGGGCACCTGGAGTCATATATTAACTAAACCAGGTTAAGTGAAAAACAAACCATGGCTCAACTTGGAGGGTTTTATTTTGGCCATGAACAACCATGTTTTGACATCATAGAAACAACCTATGAGTTCTTCATATAGAGGTTGTTGCTGAAGACTAGAAATAGCAGCAGTGTGTTTTTCAAGAGTGCAACTTCAGCTAAGATCACATGCATTATATTCAGATTAGATGATTTGCTTACTCACAGTATTCCTGTCCTGTACGAATTAAATGTCACCTTATATAGTTCTTAAATATCCTAAAACCACCTCTAGCTTCTAGTTCCAGAGTTCAACAAACTCTCTATGATCATTAGGTGGAAATGAGTGGTGGAGCTGAGTGACATCTAGGTCTTGCTGGCTGTTTAGTCTAAATTCTTCCAGCAGTTTCATGTAATTGAAATGGAGCCTTGCAGGACTCCACAGGTCAATGGCCCTGGGGTGTAGCAAAAATCTCAATCACTGCTGTTGGAGATCATTCATCCAGGGAGGACCAGAACCACCGCAAGATTATGCACTCCACACCAAGCTCAGATAAATAATCCAGAAGGCTATTATGGGTAATGGTATTGAGAGCCACAGAGAGGTCCAAGAGAGCCAAGTTACTCCTTCAGCCCTTATAATTCAGTTTTCACAAGTAGTACATGGATATCCAAGTTAGTTTCCATCAGGAAGCTAAGCATGAATCTCTGCAGATACGCATCTGAACAATCAAACCATCCAATACTCCCTAAAGCTCTGGAGTCACCACACACTCCAACATCTTACCAAAGAATGGCAAAGCTCAGACTGGGTGATAATTATCAGAAGCCATTGGGTGTAGACTTAATAGTGGCTTCTCAACCTCTTCCCTCAATGAGGCATTAATCCCTTCTGAGTCCAAATACATATCTCAGATCCCACTTTTTTCACAAGGCAGGATGGGCAAGGATGCAGAGTGCAAGCTGTAGACTTCAGTCCTTTGAGCAATTGATAAGCTGAAAGCTATCCATAATGTCATGACTGGATGATACTCTGGTTACATCTGTCTCTGACTCTTTTAAACTAATGATGTATAAGTTCTCAATGGCAGAGAAGAGGGACTTTTTTGTTACTATTACCTTCACAGAATAAACTTGAGGATGGATTCTTAACTGCACGTGTAATATTTTTGCCATTTGCAATGTTGATCACGTTACTTATTGGCTTCAGCTACCCTGAATACCAGGGAGCTGGTACAGGGAGACCAAGAAGAGACAGGAGCCTTAGCAGGAATATCTTCAAGAGCTTAGGCTGCAGCAAAATCTTCAAAAGAGTGATGAAAAACTCAAAAGAACCACTGACTTCAATTTACCACCTTTATGGGGCTACAGGCCACATGGCAATAAAAACTGATCAGTCCAGGCCAAGGTGGTCATTACTAACTTGCCCCCATCCTTGACATGGAACATTAGTTATAGAATCATAGACTGATAGAATAGTGGAGTTGGAAGGGACCAAGAAGGCATTGGGTCCCATCCCGTGCTGTTGCAGGACAACAGTTTACACCATTCCACTTGGATGGTTGTCCAGTTTCCTTTTGAATGCCTCTAATGTGGGAGAGCCCATCACCTCTCTAGGCAGCTGGTTCCACTGTCGTATTGCTGTGACAGTGAGGAAACATTTCCTGATATCTAGCCTGAATCTGAGTTGTCGCAACTTGAGTTGATTATTCCATGTCCTACAGTCTGGTATCAGCAAGAAGAGATCTCGACCTTCCTCTTTGTGGCAACCTTTGTGGTACTGATAGAGGGATATCATGTCTCCCCTAGTTTCCTAGTTTAGCACAGAAAACAAAATCTAAGTTATGTCCTAACACATATGCTGAGCTGCATACTGACTGAGCTAACATGGAGGTCTCCACTCCTGAGCTGCCACAGTAAAAGCAGGCTTG